GGTGATTTATTGTGTACTTATGGTGATCTATAGCGTACCCATGGTGATCTATCTCGTACCCATGGTGACCTATTGCACACTTGTGGTGATATATTGCGTACATATGGTGACCTACTGCGTACCTATGGTGATCTATTGCGTAACTATGGTGACCTATTGCGTATCTGTGGTGATCTATCGCGTACCTATGGTAACCTATTGCATACCCATGGTGATCTATTGCGTACCCATGGTGATCTATTGCGTACCTATGGTGACCTATTGCGTACCTATGGTAACCTATTGCTTACCTATGGTGACCTATTGCGTGCCTATGGTGAGCTATTGCGTACCTAAGGTGAGCTAGGGGTGCTAGTATGTATGTGAGGCTGTTAAATAAAAGTTTATAAAAGTAGCTTTTTCCAGTCAAATGATGTGACTGGAGCTCTTGATACATTTGTTTGAAGACCATGTGGATGCAGTCAAGTCCTAAAGGTGATCTAACTCATTCTGAAGTGACGTGATGTCCCAACACAAGCTCCTTGGCGATTAAATGATCACTGTCCCCACCAAGCTTACAGGAATAGCGATTACTATGACGTATGTCCTGTAGCAACAGAAATGGCCCATGATTCATGATTGCTTTCATTGTTGGATAAATCCACTAGTAATCAGCTGGGACAATGAGATGATAATTTCTCATCTAAAGCAGCCTTAACGCACTCACCACTCACCCTATGATATACATGGTGGCACACACACACATACAAGGAGCAGGACTGTACACAGTAAAGGGGTGCATGAAAAATTTGAGTGCACATAACATTTTCACGAGGATCATACATACAGACCTCTCCAGAGGCAACTCATGTATGTGTGGGTTAACAACGTTGCTCAATGGACCAAGCCAATCAAGCAAATGAAATGGTACTCAAGGACATCTCATCTTTCACCAATATTTGTGATGTTGACAAACCACAGTATTTGACTTTGTTTAAAACAAGCAAATCAGAGGCCTCAGTTGACTTCAAAAATCAAAGAAAGCTTAGAAACTATTTACATGCACTGAGAGTATTGGAGAAATATTAAAAATTAATTAGCCTTCCAAACAAGAAGCTTGGCAACTAATATTTGTCTACTATTTGAAATCAATGTGATCAGCATTATTGAAGTTCACAATACTTACAGGAAAATACATTTTATTTTACATCTATTCAATTTAAATCTGATTTTTTGAGATACAAGAAAGTGGCTAATAATAATTAGATGATCAATATGCATTTTTTTCATTATTAAACTAATCATGTCTGTACCTCAGAGCATCTATGAACCAAATTTCAATGAAATGTGTTGAGTACTAGTATGCAATAATCGGTCATACTAATGCATTGTTCCCAGAAATTTATATACCAAGTCTTAATGAAATGGTTTTTTAAAAGATTGTTATTATTATAAGATTATGCAAGTTAAGCAATTATTATACATAGATTTCAACCCCAAACTAAATAGATCTGTGTATTCTAGAGCACGAACGTTCTAAGTTTTATTGTGTTGACTAATTCTTATGCAAATTACGAACATTTGGTTCTTACGATAGCAGACTGAAATAGGGGGACACATATACACACACATACACACATGTACATGTACAGACACTGACTGCAAAGACTCCCATTGTGTGCTTTGCACATGGGAGTCAAACAGTGGTTGAATTACAATGAGCATTTGTACTTCTGTTTGTACCATGTTTAGTGACATACATGTAGAACCTAGTAATCAGCACATGTAACTAGTATGTCATTGAGAGATACTAACACGTCAACATCAATATACAAACAACTGCATTTCTTGCTCATTATGTAATCATTTTAATTAAAAAATACAAGTTGATTTATAATACTGCATCAATGTTGGCAAAATAAGCATTTCTGGCAACAATACCAGTTCTCATATTTTGAAATCACAATTTAAATATTTCAGTATTTGTTCTCCCTAAGTACAATGGTTAATTTTAATATTAAAATCAGTATTTCCAACCAACTTACATCAACATAGGCTGACAGACTTAATAGTACATGTAGTAAGGACTGAAAAAATGTGAATGAACTTAATGTGCACAATCTTTAAATAAACAATGCACCTACAGGTCTACTGTGCAATATTTTTGTGCCAGAAATATAAGATATTCAACAGTTCCTGGCGAATAGAAGGAAAGATGGTGACCAGACATCACTATGCAAATCGCACTCAATAGTGATGAAAAATTCTGGTTACAGTGCTCTGTGAAATCAATATTTTCATAATCAGAATGAATGAATGAA